CTGTTAAGAGGTCAATTGAAAAACTATTAACAACCAAGATTCATCTTTATTTTACCAATTACTTTATCAAACTGTAATTTTAAATACATTATTCTTTTTACCAAAAAAAAGCACAGTCAGCATTTCAGCAGTCTATATCCATACAAATCAAAAATAAAAACAGCAGCACAAACATCAGAAAAAAACCCTAGAGGGGGAAAAAATTACTAATATGCTCCATTCTAACATATGCCACCATGAAATAATTAAATTTTAAGTCATTACTAAGGCTAGGTAAAGTTTACTGCATGGAGGTAAAATTAAAACTCACCTCTTTGTTTTCTTCAGCATCTCCATGAACCCAAACAGTAGCTTCAAGATAATTCTCTCTGTTTGCCCTGTATGTTCCTTGGAGATAAATACCAGATTTTATTCCTTGCTGCAATTTGCTAAGAGGAATATGTTCTGGGAATATTATTTTTCCTCCTTCTATTTCTTTCTTTAGGAAAAAAGAAAAACAGGAGAGGATATTTTCAGTATTTTACATTCATGTTAATTTCAAAACCGAGCTCTGGAACACGACACACTGAAGCTAACAAACTCTCTAATTGTAACTGTGTGTAGGTATGAATATGCACAATAATAAAAAAACTATTATTAAGCAGTACTTTTTCTAATGAAGCATCAAAACCATAAAAATGTGGCAATTCTAGGAACTTTTCTTATTTTCCTGCAGTTACTTAAAAACATATTGCACAATTTTATGTTGATTTGGATGTAGTGACTAAACAGATACTTAACAAAGAAAATATTAGCATAGTAAAGAGTATGGCACATAGCGTATGTACTGTAAGCTACAGGAAACATTATGAAAATACATTATGTAACCAAAGTTTGGAGCAGTCAGACAATTGCTTACACCTGAATGATCTACAGTTAACTGCTGAGAATACCTGAGCCCTCCTTCTTCCCACTCTTGCACAGAGCTCTATTCTGTGAAAACTAACCCTGATGAAACTAACTTTCCTATTTTTGTGGTGAGTGTTCAGCTATATCAGCTGTATGTGAACATATGAGTCTTGATTCTGATAAACACAAAGCACAAGGAAGTAGAAGAGGATGTAGGTCATATTTGAGCTGCATTTATGTCAACTTAACTAATAACCAAATGAAAATGCTCATATTTGAGCTGCAGCCTGCATTTATGTCAACTTAACTAATAACCAAATGAAAATGCTTTTGATAAATAACTTAACACAGATTTTTCCAGCAGACACAAAACAAAGATCTAAATGGTTTGCAATATATTTTGTTTTCATTTTGCTCTTTTATTGTTCTCATTTTCACAATAGTTACCTAAAGCAACTAGCTTTTTACAGATAACAAGATACATACTAACAGGCATATAAGCAGAACTGAAAATGGCTGCAATATTTCCTTTTTACTTTTCAGTTGTCAAAAGGTTCATTGCCAAAATGGTAATGAAGTCCAAACTCCTTCTATTCTAAACTGATGCCAGTACCCTGACATATATGCAATATTATACTGCAAGCCATTTGTTATCCATTCATTTTATAAAAAGAAAATAAAAACATACCCCTTCATCAGATACACAAGCAAGACGATCTACAAGCTCAGGATTAGCTGTCAAGCTTTTTATATACTCCTCACCTACAAAAGCACACACATAAATATTTAGGCAAGAGATGCATAGGATTTCAGTATCAAGTGATTGCTCAGTTTATTTGTGCAATAAGTTAAACACACATACTACTTCACTTACATGTATAAGCAGTTATTCCTTCCTCCAGAGCTTTCTCTTTATTAATTCTGTCATTTGTTAAAAAGATAACTTGAATCTTTTCCTCATCCTCTATTTTCTTCAAGTGTTCATTGTACCATTTCACTGCTACACGAATGGCTCTGTCATTGCGGTCATTAGCAGTTTCTCCCCGCTTCTGCTCTATGTACGTTTCCCTAAATGAATTTTAAAAAGAAAAGGGAGTGTTTGACAAACCAAAATAAATCCCAGCATCTATCTATACTTAAAATTTTCAGACAAACAAGATCAAGACAGGCCAAAAGTATCATTATTGTACCCATTATTATAAAGTGTGCAACACCCACTAGGCCACTGAAGGGCCAGGAGACACGAGTAAAGGAAAAAAGGAAGGAAGTGTTAATTTCTAACACAACTTCCTCACAGACAATTGAAGAGGTTTGCATTCAAGCTGTCAGAACTATGGATTCAAGATTCCTTGAACTATGATAATGCAGTATTGGAAACTAGTTGTGAGTACAAATAAAGGCAAATTAATTGCATCTCCATTTCTTCGAGCTTTCTGTCACTAACTGAATGGATTTTTGAATTCTGCTACAGACTAAGCTGATGATATTGATAAACCATTGGCATATGTTTAAAATTAAACATAAATTTAAACTTGCCTAAAATGGAAAATCAGTATTCTATTACTCAAGATAGCAGTGCTGTCTGTAAAGCTTATGCAATGTTCTAACCCCCTTACATAATATACAATACACATAATATATGTATATTAATAATATACATAACATAACATTATGTATAACAATATACATAATATATGGATTTATACCAACTATGAACAGAAAAGCTCCTGGAACACCAATTACTTCCAAACAGGATTCCTTAGAAATATACAGTTTTATGACACCAGTGTTATTTTTCTTCCAGTCCACATGCTCCAGTCTTGTTCTCCACTTTCTTTTACTGGATGAGTTATGGATCAGCAAAACTTTCTTATGCCCCATTGCACCTCTTACCTGTGATGCTCATTGGTGAAAGAATAGAAATGTTTTTCTGGGTTTTGAATCACGTCCCTAATTCGTTTGTACACTGGCGCACTCCGATTCCTGACTTCCTGTAGGACTGTCTGCAGCACAATGACATTCTTAATAACAGGATCTTCAAGGATATCGATCTGAGGAACAAAATAGGAATGAATCAAAATTGTTGTTAAATTCTATCCAATAACAGCACTTGAAATATTTCCTTGGCTAATACATGAAAAGCTAACGTGAATAATGAGTGGCTTCTTCTGCCTTCTTCCCCTCACCACTGGGAAACTGAACAGTGTATGAAGTTGCTTTCTCCTCCTTCTGGGAAAAAAAGTCAAATAAGATTTTCCAGCCTCTTTGTGATCTGAAGATAAGGACTTATTCTGACTTCCAACAAATTTGCCACCAGTGTGTGCAGAATTCCAGACAAATAGAAGGCCAAGTACACTACAAATTTTGCCAACATAAAATGGGTTCCTATAAAATTTACCCTTAGTAAACAAAATGCAACTACGCACAGTCCGATGGAAATCTGATGCAATTTACAGGCTGCCTGCCTCTGTGAGGATTGCAAGCCATAAAATGGTACCCAACTATGCTTGCACAGCTGGTGTGCCTATGCATGTGTGGGTTTGAGTTCTCCAGAAACAATCCCACTGTTAAACTGAAATTTTTACTTCCATGGAGTCAAATCAATGGGCATTCTGCAAGCTGCTCTTCGCTTTTGAAGACCTTTTTCTTTTTTAAGGAATTTTGTTAAAATTTTCAGCACTTTTCTTTGCCAGCTCCTGACATCAAGACAGATAAACAAATATACCCTAGAAATCCATGTAATCTGTTGGGGGAAAAAGATGGGAGCTTCACTTCCTAACCTCGTGGCAAGAAACTGTGCAAACCCACCTGCAAAATGAGACAGCCATAAGGCTCTAGTGGGCATAGCTAAAAGAATAAAAAAAAATACCAGACCAAGCTCCTGTGAACCTGATGTTTACATGACCTGAAAGATTTAGAGCCATATTCACAGGAGAAGAAATCCAGCATTATTATATGCATAAGCTGAAGCACCAGGCCAAGTCTTACTGTGGCAAAACTGTTTCAGTTTCTAGGCAAAACCTTTCCCCACCCTTACCAAGGCTTCCTAATCCCCACTTCTCCAGTTCAGCTCAGCACACCCCGCTACATTCTCAGAGCATTCTATAGGACACACATACAAATTTCATCAACAAGACACCAAGAAATCCATTTGTGAGAAGCTGAAAACATCCCTTGACCTGCTGTTCTGGGACGAAATTCCTTACAACTTTTGGGATCTCTGCTAAAACATAAGTGTTCCCCTCTCCAGAGTACTCCATGTTAGAATTCATTAATTAGTTACAGTCTCCGATGTGTGCACAGGGCTGTTTTACCTTCTACATAGGTATTCAAAAACAATGAAAGAAAAAATTTAAACATCAAGCTTGGGAATTCCTCCCAGCCTCAGAGTTTACTGTCTGCCCTGCTCAGACCCAATTCTCTGCACAGCTCTTCCGTGCTTCCAGAGTTATTTCTCCTCAGGAGCTGGCCGAGAAAGACAAGGCTGGACAAGGCAGAAAGACCCAGGCAGGGATCAAGCAGCCAGAGGAAACACGGGAGGAGCCAGGCCTGCAGAGCGCTGTCAAACGCAGCTCTCCAGAGCGACGGGAACTTACATCCACAGGGATTTAACAGGGCCGGCGCAGGGAAGCCTGGAGCTTCCACATGGAGCCCGGTCGGGCCCAGAGGAAGGCAGCGGCGGGCCCTCCCCAGGACGGAGCCGGCCACACCGTCCGTCCGTCCCTCCCGGAGGCGCTCACCTGGTGCAGGAGCAGGTTGGTGTCGGGCAGCAGGAAGTGCGGCCCGGGGCAGAGGCTGCTGCCGGGGCCGCTGGGCCGCGCCTCCAGCCCGGGCGCGCTCCCGGTGCCGGTGCCGGGCGCGGCGGGGGGGCAGAGGCGGCACGCGGCGGCGCCGCACGCGATGTCGTCGCGCAGGTAATGCTCGCGCACCACCTTCACCACCGCGCCCGCCCGCGTGCGCTTCACGAACGTCCGCGAGGTCAGCATGGCGCGCGGGGGCCGTGGGGAGCGCGAGGCCGGCGGGAAGCGGCGCGGGAAGCGGGAAGCGGCGCGGGAAGGGCGCAGGAAGCGGCGCCCCGGTCGCCGCGGTGATGGCGTGGCGCGCGGCCCCGCCCCCGCCGCGCTGGGGGGAGGCGGAAGCGCGCGCGCGCGTGTCGTGCCGCCGCTGCCCGGAGTGTGTGGGGCAGAGCCCGGGACTGGCCCAGCCCGGGCTGCTGCTCCCCAAGCCCTGCCGCTGCTGAGTTACCGCTTGGGCAGCTGCCCAGTGCCTTCCGCAGCTCCGGGCATCCTGCGGGACGAACAGTATATCCTCTTCCCGAGTTCCCCCCAGCTGCCTTGGGGAAGGAAGGCGGTGGTGGCGGCCTCGGGAGGGCAGCCCGGCTGTCGCTGGCCCGGCCTCCGAGCGCGGCGTCTCCTCTCCCTGCTGGGCTCTGAGCAGCGCCGTCTGTAAGTAGCAGCCGTGGTCTGTGCCAGGTGGTTGTAAAGTCCGTGTGGCTGCTGGGTCAAGCAGCCTGGCAAGAACTGTGCAGCTGCTGCTGAGAAGGCAAAGGCCGGCGAGGTTTGAAAGGAGCTTGTAGCTAGGTCGGGCCCGGGCTCTCCTCCCAAGCACCCAGCCGGAGGACAAGAGGACAAAGCCTCAAGAAGCACCAGGGGAGTGCAAGGTTGGACATCAGGTGAATTTTCTGAACAGGGTGATTAGGCAATGGAATGCGCACGGCCAAGGGAAGTGATGGAGTCACCATCGCTGGAAGTGCTTAAGGAAAGACTGAGTACCATGGTGGAGTTGACAAGGGGATATTCAGTCGTAGGTTGGACACGACGCTCTCAGAGGTCGTTTCCAACCTATGTGATTCTGTGATCAAGGTATTCCTTTATCATTTACTCCAGTAAGTCGTGTTATGCCTCTTATAGGGCGTTGTATACCCCTCGTGGGTCTTGGGAGTTTTCAGTGCATGTGCTTTTGACAACATGCATATATTTTTATTTAGCTATACCATCATGTATCTAGTAGCCTAGATTCACACTGGTGTTCACACTAGTATTTAGGTTATTGTAGTCAAAACACTTGATAATGATTGTTCAGGGAGAGGGTCCTCAAGCAGCAGCCCTCCAGAGCTTCTCAAAGTATTTTTCCTGGTTGGAAAAAAAAAAATGTTCATGTGATACTGAGTGGCATTGCTTGCTTAGTGGTCTAATGTGGTGGTTAGTTTTTCATAATGACATTTGATTGTTTTGATTCTTGCAGTTGATTCTTCAAGAGGCTCATCTCAAAGTATAGCTTAAAAAAGCTTTGCGAATAGTGGAAGAAAATGTCACATAAAAACTCTAAGGTAATCAAGAAAGTAAACATTTCTAGCTCCTTGGAATCTGAGGATATCAGCTTGGAAACCACAGTACCAACTGATGATGTTTCTTCCTCTGAAGAGAGAGAAGGTACTGTAAAAATCACTAAGCAGCTGATCGAACGGAAGGAGTTGCTCCATAACCTTCAACTGCTTAAAATAGAATTATCGCAAAAAAACTTGATGATTGACAACTTGAAAGTTGAATATTTGACCAAGGTAAGTAGTCTTTCTCCTTCCATTATATAATCTTTTTGTGAATTTGATGCTTTTAGAGTATGATAGAAACTTCTGATAAGAATTGATTTGAATTATATGAAGGAGATCTATTTAGTTGATTTGGGGATTTTCTTAGTGTGTTTTGTGTTCTTTCATGAGAAGAAGGGGAAACAAAGATATAGAAAGCTTCACTGACTTCAAGTCATTTTGCCTAAAAATAAGTAAGGGAAGATGTAATTAGTTTTACCTTTCCTAAACACATTTTTTTTCAGAAATGACAAATAATTTTGTTACTTATGTTAGTAGCATAACAGGACTTTGAACCCGAACTTGTGGAGTACTAGGACAGGTGATCTGAATTCTCTTCAATGCTTTGTTAATGAAGGTAGGGATAGAGTATACCAACATGCTAAGAGTAGATTTTTTGTGTACAGCTTGCACGAGGATACGTAAAATTAAGAAAGGTGTTAAAACATTGCCACATTTGTGTGCAGTTCATTTTTGTAAGTCTGTATCATATTCTGAAGCCCTGGTGTATTTAGAGGTCTTCTTGGACAGCCATTATTGCACTGCCCACAGCATTTGAATCCTCATATTTTTATTTCAGCTTCTTCTTTTTGTAAAGTATTTTTCAAAAATTAATATGATAACTTATTTGTTTTATACTCACATTCTTTATATTTAGATTGAGGAGCTGGAGGAGAAGCTTAATGATGCAATCCATCAAAAGCAGCTGTTGTCTTTACGACTGGATAGTCAGTTGGCATTACAGCAAGAAGATGCCAGGTATGGGGGAAGTAAATTTAAGAACTTCATCTTTAACAAATTTGTGAATTAATTTCAGTTTGTGTAAATAAGTTAGAAACAGATCATTATTAGTTGCAGGAATAGGATTTCTTTTGCAGATTATATTAGTGTTTTAATTCTAAAATTTGAACTTACATATTTAATTTGCATATGAGTAAATGAGAATTCAGTTCTCACTAGCTGAAGTTTGTGGGCTTGGTTTTATGTTACCTAAATTCAAAATTTAGTAGGAAGAGGTAGTAAAAGTGTTCTTAAAACCAATAAAGAGCAAAAGGACTAGGCAGAGGTGACAGACTTTCCATCAGTTTAAACAGAATTTTTAATAAATGCAGCATAGAAGACTTGGGAAAGGTAAGTGCGTAATGTTTAGCTTTTCCCATTAGTACTTCCTATTTTCAGAAATGCTTTTGGCTGAAGATGTAGCAACTCACTTTCCATGTTGTTTTTATGAAATACTTAGAGTCAACCTGAAAAATAGGTTGGCTAGCAGGCTTCTCCAAACCAATTTGTCAGTTCAGTATGACGTGTGAGTTTTCACACCTGTGAACGAAGAGCATTATTACACAGTCTCATGGTAAAGCAAAGCTTACAGGATGTTACTACTTCCAAGTCCTATTCTGTAGTAAGGCTAGAACAGATTTAGGGATGTGGGGCCAGACCTGTGATTAGTTCCAGCAAAGTCTTTCACCTGGGAGCAGCTTATGGTCAGAAAAACATTTGTCACTCTGTATGTTTAGATGCACCAAAGTGGAATATTTTTATGCTGGCCATACTTGAGTTATCTAAGGAGTGCTCAGTAAAAAGATACTGATGTGCAAACTGTTATTAATAGGCATAAAAAAGTTAAACTACTCTTCCCAATCTTTTCATTAGTTTTCTTGTCAGTCTTTTACTTAACTTTTCATTCTCACATAATGGAATTGTACACAGCATGGAGTGCGTCCTTCTGTGATTGCTTTGATGACCTTAATGATCCTGTTACCTGTACCCTGCCAGTGGGGTAGATGTTGCCTTGTAGTACTAGTTAGTATTTTTTATTCCTTTTTAAGTAATGCAGAAAAGACCACATTTTAAAGAGTGATTTGTGTATGTTTTCAAGAGTTGTAGCTAAAAATAAAAAAAGTAGTTTAGTTGTCTTTGATTTAAAGAAAATAAACACTTCTAAGCATCATGAACTGATGTGCAGTTTCTCTTGCTGTATAAAACCTTATCACTGATGATAATAGTAGTATGATGTTTTAAGGTTGGAAGTAAGTCTGCTTATTCTGTTGTTTTTTTAATAAAGGACTCCAACTTTGTATATTACAGCAGTTAGAAAATTAAGGGTTGGTGTGACTGTGCCTGTGCTGAAACTTGGTAAGACCCAAGTGATTTACCAGCTCCTTGGGGTTTGTGTGGAAATAGATTCTACTTTTTCATGTTTTTAACCTTTTAATTGGTAAATTAAGTTTAGTTTGTAAATTCAAGTCAGCATATGTGGAGATTGTCTATCCTCAGATTGAGCTTTGTCTTGTCAATGACTATAAAGTGCTGAGCTGCTGCCCGAGTTTCTCTACTAAGTTCCTGGCTTTTTATATATACTGTATCTAATATGACTGTTTAACCGTGGTGGTATACATTCTGGCACTAATTACCTAATCTTCGTAAATTTTTCCCTCTACAAAATGAGCAGAATTGACTTCTTTGCCAGGGTGTTGTGAAGCTTTGTCACTTGTGTTACTCACTACCTGATATCTTCTGTTTTCAAATCCATCTTGAAGGAAACATCAGGCTCTAATGAAGCAAGAAATGGAAACTATTTTATTGAGACAGAAGCAATTGGAAGAAACAAATTATCAGTTGAGAGAGAGGGCAGGAGATATCCGTCGTAGCTTGCGAGACTTGGAATTAACAGATGAATGCTATGAGAAGCTAAAGTCTCTTCCTGAAGATCAGCTTTCTATCCCTGAATATGTTTCAGTAAGTATTGGGTTTTGTATTGGTTTAAAATATAACCTGTATCTGGCTGGGACAGAGTTGACTTTCTTCTTAGTAGTCTGTCTTGCTATGCTTCGCACTGGTGGTTGAAACAGTGTTTTGGCTATTGCTGGACATTGCTTGTACAACATCAAGGCTTTCCTTTTTCCCCATTCTGCCTCTCCCTGCCCCAGCAAGCTATGAATGGTCAGGAGATTGGTAGGGGACTCAGCTGGACAGCTGACCCAAATTGGCCAAGGTAATATTCCATACCATAAAATGTCATACTCAGCAGCATAAATAGGAGGTAGAGGAAGAAGGAGGAGGTGGGGGGTGATGGCTTTCCAAGGTGGTTATTACTCAGGGGCTGGCTGGGTATCAGTTTTGGTCAGTTTCCCCAGTTTCTGGGAGGTGATGAGTTCTTTTCTTTTTTCTTTCTTTTTGGCTTTTTAAGCTCATCTCTCTTTCCTTCAATAATTGTTTAGAAAACTTGACACCAGAGTTTTCTTGCTTTTGTTGCCTTCTTCTCACTTTCTCCTGCTCCCAGCAAGTGGGTGAGCAGCCATATAGGCTGCTGGGCAGGCTCAGCCCATCCCATGCTGTAAATTGTGGTGGGTTGTGGTTTTTTTAATCTCAGACTAGAAATAAAGGACCTTCAGAGGCAGATGTGTTTCTGGATCTGTCTGTAATGACTGGGTTCCAGTAAAGAGAGGAACCTTTTAATTTCTAATTCTAATGTCTTGAAAGAGAGTAGAACTGCTGACGTATTTGAAGGAGGTTAAGCAGATGGGATGTTACAGTTAAAATGTGGGCACATATTGATGATATGACATACAGCAGGCTGAAAAAAGTAATTTGAAACTTGGTTTGCCAGAACCACAAGCTGGGATTGCACTTGCAAACATCCCTTACTTTTCTCTTGTGCTTTCCATATGTCCCTTTCCTGTTTGACTAAATGCAGGAGACAAAGTGTACCTTAAAGTGTACTTTAAGATTCATTTAAGATGTTTGTTAATTATGGCTTGTAGGTATGTGGAGAGGCCACCATGTACTCTTGTTTGCAATAAAAAGCCCATGGGACGTGTCCAGAACATCCCAGCTGACTTATGAGAATGAAGAAGATTTACACATGTAAACCTTAATTCATCAAAATAGCATTGTACTTATCTGTAGAACTTGTTATTAAGGAAGTTGTAAATAATACAATGTTAAAAACCTTAGTACATTTGTTAAGGTGTAAGTGCTACATGAAAGAATTCTCTAGATCAAAGTCATGCTTTACTGTGCTCTAGATATGTACAGAGAATTAAAATTTTTCACCCTTATCTAAAGGATGTTCTTGTGAGCCTCTTTTAAAAAGCTGGGCTTTTGAAAGTGCTAGGAAAAGCATATGGCTCTGTGGGATAAATAAGAACATATAGCTTGGGTACTGTTAGGTTATCACTACCTAGCTCTCTGCTGTACCCACTGCCCTCTGTAAAAGTATTTGACGGGGTTTTGTTGATTCCTGTATCACCATGGTTGAAAAAACCAGACTTTTAACAGAAACTGAAGTCCATGTCAGTGGATCTATTGAAATTGGTGTGCAGGAAGTTCAGAACTTCAGGAGTTGATTGACAGTCAGTACAAAAGACTCCGTAGCCAGGCAGGGTAGATACCAGGAGTTAGTAACCTTGTCAGCTGCTTTAAGTGAAGCTGTCACAGCACAATTTAGATTTAATTTGTGAGTAGAAAATGGCTATCAGAAAGATGTGAAATAGGAGAGATGAATAGCAGTCACCTTCTACCTTTAACCTTCTGTTCTTTTACTCTTGTGTTCAACCAGTTAATGTTATTTTTATCTGTGACAAAAACTCCTCTACTTAAATGTTAGGTGAAGCTCCTCTCTTCTTCACACATTACTTTTTCTTTTGAAGAAGTCATTTTTAAACCTTTTCTTTTTCTGGATAAGGCATTCTAAAGATGTACTGTAGTAAAGTGCTATTTTCTACTTTTTTCAACTTCTTTTAGCAGAGGATTAGTGTGAACCTAAAAGTATCAGTAAAGCTTGGTGGTTGTTTGTTTATCGTTCAAGTTATGCAGCTGCTACCGATGCTGGGAGGCTACAGAGCTGTTTTGCACGTCCTGTCTGTGCATCCATTTGGCTCCCAGAGGCTGGGGAAAGGAGTTGGAAGGAGCTGGAAGGGAATGCTGTTTCCTGCTTTGCTTGCCTCAGGAGAAGTTGGACATTTTTAGGCAGTTAAAATTTCTGACTCCAGATCTGTGTGCAGACTAATAATGTAGCCCACTGATGTTAGGGTAAAATTTTCCTTGTTGAGATAAGGGTCCTGCTTAGACAACTTGAGCAGGAAATTTTCAGACTTTTTTTCTATTTATTAGTAATAAAACACTGCCTTGCAATTCTCCAGGATGAAAGTAAACATGTATATAATGCTTAGACTTTATTTGACACCAGGTCTACTGGACAAATAGCAGGAAGAACTTAAATGCAGATTTTGTATATACTGTAAATTTGAAACACTGGAATTAAAGCAAATATGAGATGTTTTTCACTGTTCTTCCACAAAGGGGTGCAATAGTGACATGTTAGAACAAAGCCTAGGTAATGTTTAATGCTAATGATGACAACTGAAAAATTGTATTTTGCACATCTTTCTCTTAAAATCATAGTTTTTTGTTTTGACCTTATGTGTAAAAATTCAGATTTTTGTTCTGCCATTCCTGAGATGTTTTTAGAAACAGTATATGTGAAATTTGAAAGTACTTCAGGCTGTTAAATAGTTCAGCTGCTAAGCATCAGTTCAGTTTGTTCAGTAAAGTGAACCTCTTGTGTACTCCACTGTAAAATATTTTCAGCAAATTTTTAAAAAATTATTTCTGCAAGTTCTGTTTGAACTGATTTTAATTGCCATGTCTTTCAGGTATATCATTTTGCTAACTGCAGCTCAGTTGCTGTTTGTGTAAGAAGGCAGTTAACTGATGCAACTGCTTTCACAGAACTTCAATTGACAGAAGCCGACTTTTTCAACCTCCCATTTTTACCCACCCATTTTTACTTTATTCTAGTTGTCCATAAAAAGTGGTGGGCACAGGCTGAGTTTTTTTTTTAATTGCCTAGAAAGTGGTAACTGTTTACAGCACACCAGTATAAATTTGTGATTTTTAAGATATGCAGTTGTTTCTAAAATCCCTTTTAGAGTAAGTTTAGTTTCTGCTGTATTGAATTGGCAAGAGGCAGTGTGTGCATTGACTGCTGGGTTACATGAATGTTTCTTGGCTATCAAACCAGCTAAATAGCAACAACAGTTGAACTGCTATAACCTCAGCCTCATCTCATGCATTCATTTGCATTTGCTTATTACCATGTAATGATCTTTCCTTGGGAAGGCTGTGTAAATACATTTATCCTTGATACCTGTATCCCATGTAATCTTGGTTTCTACTGGGAAATCTGTTTTATGGTTGTTGTATTTTGGGAAATAATTGTGGTGTGATAGCATAAGTTTCCTAGGGATATTGCAGTAAAAATAAAAGAACTTACTGGAAAAGCAGGTGTGGTTAAAAAAAAAAAAAACCACAGTGCTTTAAATAGTTATCAATTAGGGATAATCAAGGTTACTTTTTTCTTAAGAAATGACCAATTGAATCATCAGATGTTACAGTTAAATATACTAATTTTTCAGTCATGTTGCATGCTTGCCTTATTGTATAAAGCATACTACACCTGTGTTTACATTGCAATTTTCTATGGCTTCTGTGTTTTTAGAATTGTATGCTGTCAATTATATGAAATATACCTGGAACTTTTCTCTGTCTTCTGCTGTTTACAGGTAGCAAAGCAGAGATCTGTCTTCCTTCTGCATGGAAGTGCAGTACAGCTTGCTCTTGAATGCTTACTTAATCTGTCCTTTCTTGTCTGTATTTCTTCTTTAATCATATATCAAAGAAGGCATTAGGGATGGAGGGCATGCAATAGCTTTTGCATGAAAACGGTGCCTACTTTTTTATTCTTTTCACACACACCCCCAAATGCAACATTTTAAGGTATCAAGTTAATCTGGGAATAATAACCTCTGTGTACGTGTATGTGGGTGTATATCAAAAAAGCTCTTTCTTCTTTGTTTTGTCTCTTTTTGTTTTTTAATACTGGCTTTGTGGTTTTACTACTGTATTTTCTAGTCTTTCTTCTTGATCAGAAGAAAAGTTCTGAAAAAGTTTTATGGATGTGAGACTTGCCTGAGACAGTGCCTATGACTAGCATGGGGGAAGAGAGAGGAGTATGCATTACAGACTTTAAAATTTTTTTAATCCTGTTAGAAGGTTGGATTTTTTGCTCTTAATTTAGCAGCGTCATGTCTATCAGAGCCTTAGTTTCCTGATGCAGTTGAATGCCTATACTAGCATGTTACTGCTGGAGGTGTGTGTGGAGGGGGTGTCATGGTTCTTCCTGGTTATGTGCTGTTCCTGCTCCCTCTACTTGCTCTTGCATTTTTCTTGGTGCATACTCAGCACACTGAGCTGGCAGAAAACAAAACAAACCAGATTTCTCATTTTCTACACACCCCATAAAAATTTATATTGTCCTGGGGGAAGTTAGCAAGTTAAGTTGGTTATTACTAAATAGGTTTTGGGTTTGTTTGGGGTTTTGCTTGGTTTTGTTGTTTTTTTTCTCTTTTTGCCTGTTAATCAGATAGGCTCTAGATTTGGCACAAGGAAGTGCATGGGGCCATGTGTCCATTAGCAACTGTATTTTTTTGATTGATCAGCCTGAGTGTAAGCTGCCTTAGTTGTACAGCAATATAATCTTTACCTTTTTGGCATGCCCTAGAAATATTTAGTAATAAAATTTACTAAATTATTGTCACAAAATGTTGAGCTGATGTGTTTTTAGGTTTGTAGTTTTACAGTTGCAATTTTGCTAGTTTCTACTTTGAATATCTGTCTTGTTCTTCTAGGTCCGATTCTATGAAGTAGTCAATTCCTTAAGAAGAGAGCTAAGTGATCTACAAACGAAAAGGGAGAGTCTGACAGAAGAACTAAGTGGGTACAAATCCCAACTAAAGTGTCTGACAGAGGTCTGTACTCCTTAGTTATCTCAGTTCAGAAACTGTGAATATTGTGAAAATCTCATTCTCCAAATCATTCTTCGTGTGTAAGGTAGAAAAGCTTTTTTGCTGTATAAAAATTACTGCAAGGAGAAGAGGGCAGGGAGGGAAAGAGGAAATAAGCTATATGTGTCCTTGTATAACAGCTAACTTGATCCTATGGCTATCCTGCAAGATTTGCTCATGAGTATTCAGGGTAGTCTCTTACCAGCTGTGTTGTCCTTTCTGAGGGCAAGATTTCAAGGTGGGGATGCTGGAAAGGGGGTCTGCCCAGCAGCAGCTGAAGACACCGTGATGGTTCAGTGTAGAGTCTGTGAGATGGGGATGTCTTGGTAGTAGTTTGTATTTTTTAAAGTTCTTTGGAGTTGCATCTTCTCTGTTATGCTTCTCAATTCTTTGTATTTTAACTTTCGTATTTGTTTCTGTACTAAAGAAAAAGATAATTTGATTTCATGTACGATATAAACACCAGCAGCAGAGAAACAAGTGATATAAATACTTTCAATTTTTATTTTTAAAGAGCTAAGGAATTGAAACAGTATAAGGAGTGTGGTTTTTCTAATGTATTTATCAATATTTATATTATTCTTGGTATGTATATAGCTAGGGTGGTTTGTATTTTAACTTAGTTCTGCATGGGTCTGGAGTTGGGACAAAAGTTTCAGGTACTCAAGGTATATTTATCCAGGTCATGGCTAGTGGAGACTTAAATTACACTGTCATTTTACTGCTTCTGAGAATATGTTTTAGTTATTGCCTTTTTTTCCCTGTGAAATTTGCTTACGGAATAATCACATGTAAGGGGAAATTCTTTATATAAGTTTATCTTGTGAAATTCATGTACTTTCATTTCTGATTCTGATTGAATTAGAGAAAGTAGTCAATAAAATTTATGCATTTATGTGCTTCAGCATTATTCTGTGTCACCATCTCTGGTCATAAGTGAGATTAAACTAATCCTGTTAATTTTTGTCTTGCATAAGCGTTTTCCTTCACTGTACATTTAATGTGCTTTGATTTAATAAAATTGTACAGGAGGATTTCAGCCTTTGAGATTTAACTGACATTTATTACTTCTGCTGAAGCAAATTAACAAGTCAGTCGATAACAATAATTAAAGTTGTGCTAGAAACATTTTTCTTGGGACATTGATCTTTGTTTGATACAGACTTCTGATTTTGTTCTTTTTGTACCACATGGTGGCAGTATTCACCTTGATGAATGAACCTTCCCAATGATGCATTTCTCAAAGTTCTAAGTGTGCTGTGCTTTGCTTTTCTTGTATGGAGAGTCTTGAGAGTCTCTGTTCTGATTCTGGCAAGTTCCAAATTTTACTTTGTGACTTGCTGAGTGTCACTGCAACAAGGTACCTCAGAAAATAAGGTAAAAGGAGCATCATCAGGATGTAAGGGTACTTTAGAATCTCTAACGTGGTTGCTGCACAGGAGATGACATACCTATACATCTCTTGCAGTTTAAGAAAAAGTGATTTCAAGTGTACTGCTGGGGTAACCTTTTTGAGCTCTTCACTAAGGTCACGCTTTTTTGCAAGGAAATTTATCAGTAGGAAATAAAGTTTTGTTCAGAGTCTTACCTAAGCTCTTACACTCTTTCACTGGACTTTTTTTTTTGTATTCCAGTAGTTCTTGTTTTTCCAGGTACTTGAAATATAGTTGCCGAAGTTTTTTGCCTGTTATTTAATAATTTATACTCTGCAAATCCTTCTTCTGGGTTTCCATACAGTATTCCAGAAATTCTAAGTTTTCTATAACCATTGGAATATTTTTGTTCTTTGTGTAATTTATCGACAAAATCTGTTCTGAGTTTAAAACTTCTTTAGGAAACTAGTAGTACAGAAGTTTGAAATACAGTCATCACTGAAGATAAGACTACTGGTTTTTGGGTTTTTTCTTTTGTGAGAATAACCTACTTCCTCCAGTAAGAATTCCTTATTTTTTCTACTCTTTCAAGATAATTAAGGCTTGTCTTAATGAGTTTCAACACAGGTTTCTTCCTTCTTTTTGGGACATAGGAACAAAAAAATATGCTTAGGCCAAAACTTGGGGAGGAGGATTGTGTTGGCTTTTCTGGTTGTGTGTGGCTGACAGACTAGGTTTGAGCAGGTTTTATACATGTACATATTCACCCTGAAATAAAGTAATAAGAAATAGAGACAGTTTGTTCTAGACTCATAGGAAAGATTATCTAGCCAACCAAGAATTGAAAAAGTTGGAAGGAAAATTTGAGCTTAAAAGGTTTAGTCAATTTAGGAAAATTTAAGTGTGGAATGAATTCATCATGTAAGACAACCATGCTCACTCTATAACTTTGTAAACTTCGCTTGGTGTGCTGCTGCTCTTAGCCCTTAAAGGCTGTTGAATCTGTAACACAGACCCAGTAGAGTAGGGAGCTGTTTCTGACAGCTGGTAGCAGAAAATGGCTTGTGAAGACTGATTCCTAGCACTGGAATGTGGTCTGATAAAGGATGTTTGTTATTCTGCTTTCTGTTTGTAGAGTGATCAATGTAAGTGGTTGTGCTGTGCAACTAAATTAGTGGCTCTCTGCACACAACTGTTGCATCTGTGATTTAGATCAGTGCAGTTCCTCTGGTTGCAGGTACAGCAGCCACAGCCTGGGGGCAGGCGGTGGAGCTGGTGAAAGCCATGTTCTTGTACTGCTGACTGACTTGTTACTAAATGTAGGGCACAGGCTTGTTTTAGTCCTCCTTTCACAGTCCTGCTCAGTACTTCAAGTATAAATAATGTTGGCACCACCAGCTTTGGAGGTAAAGATAGAGGAGGAAGTCCAACTATAGTGGTGTATTAGCAGGAGCTTCCCAGAAATAAAACCAGCTTCTGATGTGTGCATTCCCATGCTGAACATCAGTTTACTATTTTCAGAGTTGTTTGTTTCTAAAGTGGTTAGAACCTTCCCTCAAACAGATGTAATTTACTACTAGTGGGTTTCTCTCAAGGCTGGGAGAGTGTCTGGGAAGGAAATCTTGCTTTCCTTTGTACCTCCAGAAGATTAAGTATTGCTTTCTTCTTCTGGCTGGGAGTTTCTTGGCAATGTTTTCCTGGAATTTGGTATTGATACAGTTTTATCAGGGCTCCTTTTTCTTCAGTTATTTTTTATATAAAGTTGCCTTTGGGATTTGCAATAAAATTTATAGCATGAGAGTATCTGAAAGCTGTGGTTATCCTAAAGACAAAGTTGGTTATATGTAGGACAAAGATCTTTTCTAAGACTTCATCTCTGAATCAGGATTAGTAGCTGTCAGGTTTTGCTAGACATAACTAACAGTTTTCTCTGTGATAATGTTTTCCAGCTGGAGGGAAAACATACCTATAGTCTTCAAAGGATAAACTAAGCTTTTGTACTCAAAGGATCACTTGGCACTAGATGTGTCTGAATATTGAAAAATGGAGGCTGTTGTTGCTACTCCAAAAGGCCTGGAATCCCTAAGGTTTCTCCTAAAGTTTACATATCTGTAAAGACTGCACTCTAGAACTCTTCCCCAGCCCCCTGACACCACTTCTTTCAAGCAGTGTTTGGTCATTTGGTCTTCACAGCTCTCTTGAAACAGATGAGGTCTTGGTCTTCGGTGAAATATGTGCCTTTTTTTTTTTTTTTTTTTTTTTTTGCTATTGTTAGTATTGTTCAGGAGAATGGTTGCAAAGACGATACTCTACCAGTAACTGTGAGCTTGAGGCAGCAGTTTAATATTTCCAAGACTTAAGGAAGTTTCATATCTGTGAAAGTTCCCTTTTCTATCCAATACCTTTCTACTCTTTTGATACATAGCTATGGCTTGCATTGACTGCTAGTTGTGGTTCAGAAGTATACGAGATGCTTTAATTATACTGTTCTGTAATGATCTCAAGGATCCTTTTCACGTGAGAATATTTCACTGAAAATTCTAGTAAGCTCAGATCCAGAGAAATAACCTTTTTATTCCTCCACTTTCTTTTGCTATAGAACTTGTTCCAAAGCTTTTCTTTTATATGCTCCTTGCAGAGTTTCTCTACTTCAGAGTAGCTCAACATTTTTGTTTATAATTTTTAGTGGTAAATAGTGACCTGTCTACAATTAGATTACCAATTTCCCATCTACAAGTGGAGTACCAATTTCAGAGCAAGTTCCTAAAGAGATGTCTTATTTATCCAATTATGTATATCTTCTCCATGACGTTTGGGCAGTTGTGTTCCAATAAATAATGTATTGACCAGTAATTTTTGAATGCAGAGTATGTAAACAATTGAAGCAAAATGTCATCTTTACAAAGAAGCAGCACCTCATCCAAATAACTGGAGGGAATTGTTTTCACATCACAATAGTACAGTAGCTTTACATTTGTCTAGGGCCTTTAGGATATGAACAAAGTGCTGGCTTTTGTAAATGATTCTTCAAAGATGCAGATCTTTGAGAAAAAAAAGCTTTTTAAAAGCAGGATCACTTTCTTTTACAGGCTTATCTGTAGATGGTGTAAAGAAGTTGTGCTGTTTCTGCTTGATTGGCTGATTAATCTATTCCCTGCATTTCTATTTATCTTCTTATCTCCAAAGGCTTTTTGAAACATCAGTTAATCCCTATCATGTATTATGCGTCACTGACTTAGTTCAAAAAGTATGTCACCTGGATTTTGCACTTGAAATTCAGATAGGTATTTATTTCAGTGACTGCTGTAAACTGCTGCTCATTGCAGACTGAAGAAAGCAGTGAAGATTAATATCATTAAACTGAGGTTTGCCATTAGATCTTTAGTTTCTCTATCAGTTTGGGGTTTTAAGTGGTGCAGATCAGGCAAGCTGAGAATCTTCTTGCTTGAAACATCATTTGTGGACAGTGTTTGTAAACCAAACAAAAGCACTTCTTAGCTGACTCATGCCCTGTAGAAACCACCACCACTGGGTTTCTTAGGCAGTTCTCTCAAGAATTTCTTTAGACAGTGGTTGCCTATCTGTCTCACATAGGACAAGTTTGGTTTTTCATTTGTTTTTACCATCTCATCAGTCTGATTTTCTGCTCTCTGCAGAAGCAAAAATTACTAAGACGCTGAAGAAAAGCTGTGATGTGTTTGGAGTATTATGGCCATCACATTCAGTGCAAGCAAGTTCTGTTTGTCCTTTAGTTATTTTAAGGTTTGTGGGCTTACTTAAGCTAATATTATTTATTTATATATTATTATTATTATTTCCAGAACCTCCTTTCTGTCCTTGAAAGAGCTCTGTATCTTGATTCTTCTAAAAGCCCTGTTTTTGCTGCAGCAGGACAAAGCTGTTCATCAAGATGTTCAAGCTATCTTTTGAAGATAAATGGGAAGATAAAGCTGTTCCATTGCAGAGATCTTAAATCAGTTCAGTGTATATGGATATTGTTAGAAACTAAATTAATTTTATCACATGCAAAGCAAAATGGCTTCTGCCTAAGCACAGGCAGCTTGATCGTATGACTTCAAGATGTATTGCTATGGAAGTGCAGAAGCTTGTGCATGTGCTGCCTGGAGATGTGCATCCCACACAGGGGGTTTTGTGTGTTAGCTTATTTACAGCCTAGACTGGGTATCTGCTTGCTTTGTCATATTTCTTCATGTGTTTGAAATACTACTTAGACCCCTTAAGATTATGTAGATGAAAAGCAGTGTCTTGTGCAGTATAATTAGTGTTTCTTCAGGAATTATATTAAATCTTAAAAAAACAAATATGACAAACCCTCTATTTAAGGTAGGTCTTAGTATCTTAGTATCACTTTTTCAAAGCAGAATTTAACTCTTCTTTCCTGGAATTGCCATACTGTTACATGACATTAATAACTGATTTATTAAATACCATTCAAAAGTAACTTTAGGTCACAAGTATTAGAAGGAGCTGTTTTTGCAGATATTTAAATATTCTGTTAATTGTTGCTTTAAAGCTATGACAACTTTTTTCCAGAGGTTAACCAATTTAATTTTATACTTTTGGTAATTGTCTTCTAGCTCTCAGCTAGATAATACTGTAGGAGCTTCAGTAGCCCACTCAATGAAGGGTGTATGAATTGCAGAATGGCATGGAATATGCACAGAAGAATTGTATTCTAAAGTTAATCTTTCAATTTGCACTTAAAAGTTAAGTGCCCTTACCAACATATCCTGTTGCAAGATGAGTCATGTTTGCACTGGATAACAGGGTACTTGCACCATTATGGTGCATATTTGAAACTTTATCTAACTTGTGCACACCTTTTAAAAATATCTAAGAGAGACTACCATTATAATAATGCCATCTTTATAAATAATGACATGTAAACTGATTAAAGAAGAAGGTGTTTCATAGTGTTAGTTTGCTTGATGTATATTCATTAATTAGGGTAAACATAAACTATATATACCAGTATGTGTTAGGATGAATAACAATCATATGTTTGCATGATGTATTTTTAATGGTAGACCATGCAGAATCCTCATAAAAACTTTCTGGATGTTTTGGTTTTTGTGATTTGTGACCTGAAATGATTTTAGTAAAAGTGAAGATAAGTAGGTATGTGAAATATAAAACAAAATATTATTTTTTATCAGCAGAATAGGTAAAATATGGCTACTAGATTGGGAAGCTTTTCTTTAGTGTCTTAAAAATATTTGGGTGTGTTTTTTTCAAAAAGGCATTCTGTCAGTGTTTCAGCTGATGGTGTCTGTGGAGTTTATCAGTGTCCTTCTGTCATATACTCCATATATGCTGTTGCCCTAAACTTCCCTTGTCTATTGAAAACTAGCTATGCAGTTATCCTCCTATAACTGTATAAAGCATAGCTTTCAGCAGTGTTGAAAAACTATGCACTCATACAGCGTCTTTTACTGCAAAATAAATGCAATTTGCAGTTGCTAAGTGCTTGGTTTAGTAATGACTTCTAAAGGGTGTGCTCACCTTCAGTTAATAACATTGTGATATCCATTCATAATAACCAGATAGCATAATTGTTAATCAAGCATCCATTTCTGAGCTTGCTGTCAGTCATAGTAGTAAAAAACTGAATTCAGCAGTATTCTGGAAAGTAGGATATGGAAAAAATCTAAATGCCCACAAGTATTCTCAAATTTTTAACAAGCAACTCTTTTTGTAGTCCATCAGCTTTACCTTCTGTAAGTGAATGAGCATTATTATTTTGGTCATTCTTGCGAATAAATTGCTAAGTAGTACAGTATTTAGGACAAGTAAGTAAGGTAAGTTTGTGAAAAAAGTACCTATGTAGTAGAAAACTGAAAAATGGAGTCTAGATTGGGGATTAAGGTATAAAATTCTTGTGGAGAGTTGGAGGGAATGAGTGTGATTGGGAAATCTGTTGATCTTCAAAAGGAATACCTAGTGTTTTAAAAGATGAATACTCTCTGTGTGTTCTCTTGCTTTGCTTTTGTTGTTTTGGTTTCCAGAATAATCCATAAAAGTGTGTGAGGAGGAAAAAGAAGGGAAAATGGAAATTAATGCTGATGGACCATTAAGTAAACTATTTTATTTTATTTTATTTTTTCTTCCACCAAAGCTTTCCATGATATGCTTCAGCAAACATCGGTTACCAGATACTGTAGCTACAATTTGGGAATAACTGGCTGAAATCTTTCAGATAATAACAGATGTTGCTGAACAAACCATCCTCTTTCTTTTCTTTCAAATTAACTACCAAGTATCTTCACAAGTCTCTAGACTTGTTTGAAACTGTTGTAAAGGTGGTATGACTTCCGTGCTCCTAGTATAGGTTTGCAGACCAACAGCTGTTTATATGAGGGTTACTGGTCTTGGAAGTTGTGCTAATGGACAAATGCATTGGAAAAAATAGGTACATTTAATCAAGTATTTGTATTAAGATAAAAATAAGTTGAGTATCGACATAGCTGGTTACTTTGTGATGTACTAAATTTCCAAATACTGAGACAAATGAAAGCATTACCACCCGAATATTCATAAGAGGTTTTCATGAAACTTAGTTGTTGATTACTTGAAGTAAATATCAGTGCAGCTGTGATCATTTCAAGATGTCTCCCTTCCTAGAGCTATGAAGACGAGAGGAGGAGTCGGTCAGAGCTTGAGGTCAGATGCCAGCGTTTAACACTGGAACTGGCTGATACCAAGCAGTTGATTCAGCAAGGTGATTACAGACAGCAGAACTATGATAAAGTAAAATGGTAAGTATCTCTATCATTCAAGTGTTTAACTGACATACAAATGTTAATAAAGATCAGCCTGATTGATCAGACTTCTTGGGTTTTGTTTTTGACTTACACGCACATATTTTTCCTTACCTCATACTGTAATGGTTCAGTTACCTCCTTTAGTATATTGCAGACCTAAAATGAACAACATTCTGAAAACCAGTGCATCAAATTATCTTCCTAAAAGTTTATATTTTCAGATTTACTGTGTTTTCAAGAGAGCCTAGCAGTCTCATTGCAGCTAAGGAAGTGGGAGCTGTTGATGGCAAGCATCTTGGAACAAGTACTCTTTTTTTATTTGTAGTGTAAAAGCAATGATCTAACAAAAGGCTCTGTGCTCTCCTCTGTGCTGCTTACTGAGTGAGTTAGGAGGGCAGGACCTTGGGAATTAATATTTACAACTTAAGATATCTTCAAAACCATAAATTTGAAAGGGCTGTTTTGAGAACTCTGGCAGATAATCTTAGGATTACCTTAGTGAATTTGTTTAACTGCAAGAAGTTCCAGTGTCTAGCTTTTTTAAAATACAGATTGTACTCTTATAGCCAATGTTTTGAATATCCATCTTGCAAAAAGCAGTTGCAAAAGAGTGAAAACAGACTTCTTGTAAATATACTCATAGATGTATCCCTCACAGTCCAGCTTCCAAATAGCTTTTTCAGTGTGCTCACAAGTACAAGAAATCTGATCTTTGGCACATTTATGGAGAAATGTATTGAAAAATGGGGATTATGATAGAAAAGACCCTGCCAGCTCCTTAGTTGTTCATATGGCATGAACTCAGGTGTAGTTACTGACACAAATGACTTTGCCCATTAAGTCATTTGAACAGGAATCTGTCTTCTGGATTCACAGCATTTTTGATTCACAGCTATATGTACAAAAACAACCCTGGAATCTTTCTGGCATCTTGTTGTAAATAGGATGGATTGGTGCTGTGATTTGCTTCCTATATGCAACTGCATCTTAATAAGTGGATTGTAATAACTTTCATGTGAATGGCCCCAGTGTTTAACAGTGTGCATTTAAAATAGTCTTGAGAAAAGCATGAATGAACGTGCCAAAACTGTATTTGAGAGAGTAGGTTGTATTCAGCTGGGTAGGCACAGATGAAGAGGAGGGGAGAGCTCTGTTGGCTTAACTGCATGAGGATATTTGGGAGCACTGCAGGAGTAAATCACTTCCAGACTTGTTTCTGCCTTTAAAAAACACTGTGTCAAATCTAGTTCTGCTGTACTACAAGTTATCTCAGTTTTAAAGTGATGCTATGCTTAATATAATATTGGTTAACTTTTTTCTAAACTGCAGGCTCATACTGGCTCATTCATTTCACTGTTCTGACAGGGTGACAGTGGAGACATAGCGATGCTTCTTTGTGCATGGAGAAAGCACTTTTGCTCAGGACACCAGCACAGTTTTTGCAGCTGTGTCATGTATATTTTAAACATGACAACCCACTCTGGTATCAAGGCTGTATGGAGGGGAGAGTACATACTGAGAACAAGTATACATTGCTTTCTGCTCTGTTAAGAAGACGGGAATGAAGTTGTTTCACTTTTCCATTGGAGTTCCATGTCTGCAAAAGATTGAAGAGAATGTCATGGGAAATAGCATCAGAAGGTTGATAAAGCTAAAACAATGGATAGGGATACTTACAGATCATTGCTAAGGGAAGAAATGTATAGCCCAAAGTTACACTAAAGAAGAATAATCAGAGGAGAATGAGATAATATAGGATGGGAGTTTGAGTATTGTAGAATTTTCTTTGTTTCTGAGTATTTAAATAATCCTCAGTTGTTTCATGTAAAATGATACTGTTGCAAGTGTTAATAACTATAAAACATTAAGAGTCTCACCAGTTGTTCTGTGAGTGACTGATTGGAAGAAGTCAGTGTTGTGAACTGGCAGAAGGCTGAGACATTAAAAAGGCACAGGAATTTTGTTCATGACACTTTATGCATCTAATAGTTTAACTTTGCTTTCACAGTGAACGTGATGTATTTGAGCATGAGTTGTCAGAACTCAGAAGAAACTATGAAATACTGGAGGTGTCATACAAAACACAAACTAAAGAAAGAAATGACTTAGCAAAAGAGGTAAACATAAATTTCTTACCTTAGTAATTGTGTATTTCTTCATCTCAAGAATTTGATTCTTTGTCTAATCAAGTTTGTTAGGATCATGGAATAATTTAATTCTAATGGTCTCAAGAGACCAACTGTTCCAACCCGCCCATGCAGTACAGAGCAAGATTAGGTCAAGTTATTAGGCCTTTGTCAAGTTTTTAATGTCTCCAACGATGGAGATTCCACAGCCTTTTGGACAATCTGTTCCTGTGTTTGTGTACTCTCTTGTGAAAATGCATTTGTAAAAACTAATCAGTTGTTACAGCTTTTTTCTGTTGCATCTTGTCCTGTCACTATGTATGGCCAAGACTCTGGCTATTTTTATGTGTTCCGCTTGGATAGCTGAAGATAACAATAATATTTTTCCCAACTAGACTTCTCTCCTGAAGGCTGAAAAAAGTTCCAAGTATTTCTCTTAACTTGTTGTATATCATATACTGTAGTTCATGACCATCTTGGTAGAGCTCTTCTGGTGCTGTTTCAGTATGTTAATGCATGTCTTTAGGACATGCATGTCATGGGATATTGCACTCAAAATATAGTCTCACAAGTGTGGAACACAGGATAATAATTTTCTTTAACCCCCTGTCTTGCATTGTTGCTAATATAGCCTTGTAACCACTTGGCCTTCTTTGCTGTCAGGGCACATTTCTGTCCCATGTTCAGTTAGTTCAACAGATGTTTGCCTATCTGATCTGTATTTTGCCAGCTTTTCCATAGAGCTATTCCAGGAGATGGCTGAAAGCCGTGCAACAGTAAATGAAATGGACAGTGGTCCCCCCGTCCACAGAGCTTACATTTTTGTCAGGTTTGGCCTTGGTAAATTCCTGCTGCTTTTTCTATCACCTTCTTGTTCACATTCATGGATATAGCTTCCAGGGCAATTTACTTCATAATCTGTGCAGGGACTGAGATTACATTTACCAACCCAACTGACTGCTCCTCCTTGAAGGAGGATTCTGGTAATCAGAAGCCTTGATCACTTGCTGTGATCCTTCAAATGGCTGGTCAGCTTCACAGTAACGTAGGCTATCTCCCTCAACACTGGTCAAGTGCTTCCCATTTTTTCCTAGGCGTTATATGCATGCCATTTTCCTAGGTATGTGGCTTAGAAGGCTGAAGCAAAGACAGACTGAACTCTGCCAATAAGCTCAGGAACCTGGGAGGCCCCAGGGGAAAATTTACCATTGGAAGATGAATGCTGTGAGTATATGCTTGATATGGTTTAACTCCAGCTGGCAACTAAGCCCACACAGCTGTTTGCCCATCCCAGTGGGATGGGGGGGAGAATCAGAAGAGTAAAAGTCAATAAAACTCATGGGTTGAGATAAGGACTATTTAATAGGCAAAGCAAAAGCTACGCACACAAGCAAAAGCAACTCAAGGAATTCATTTCCCACGTCCAGTGGGCAGGCAAGGCTTCAGCCAGGGAAGCAGAGCCCTGCAAGACTAGTGTGGAAGATCTTTGTGTATTAACACTTTAGGAGCTGAATAAATGAGACAGACTACTCCTGAGAGTATGCAGGGAAGGTGTGTTCCTTAGTGTCTCTGTGTAAATAACAGTGTTACAGATGAAATAGAGATGGAAACTGCCACTTTAAAGATAGCATTGCTATGCCTAATTTTACAGGTAGCTGTAGAGATTATCAGAAACATTAGGGAAAAAAACTGAGTTTCTATTAGAAAGTACCCCTTTGGTGTCAGTCTGAAGGCTTTGTTAGTCTATCTATTCCCCAGTCTAGCATTGTAAGAGGACACCAAAAGTCAGGTTTGTTCTCAGCATACAACAATGGCCAAAAAGGTACTGTCCTGTACATCAAGTTTGTATGTACATATGAAGTACTGCAGAATAGCAGCAACAATGGCTTTTTGCATTGACTTTATACTAAATTAATCAGAGTGAATAAAAATAGCACAACTTTAAACCAAAATACCACTTCAAACTGTGAATTACTTAAATCTCCTGGAAGGTTTCTGCTGATTTTTGTGTGTACTGGTACAGTATCAAGTCCTGTATTGGAAGAACATCCAATTGGAAGTTTTACCCAGTACTTGTTCCAGAGGAGGACTAACTGCTTGCTTTTCTTTGTGTAGTAGTCTGTGACGTCTGTTCACTTTGGATATACAGATAACATATTACTTGGAGAGAGACCATTACCTTTTTTTCTTAAATCAAGTATAGAACAGGCATTTATACCTCACCCTGAGTGTGCTACTCAGCAAGTGGGCTGATGGAGAGGTGCATGCCTCTGAGAGCACTGTTTGTATATAAATTGTCATCTGCTCCATGTCTTTTACTCCAATATCTTCCCTAGGTAACTTTTAGTCCTTCTGTGACTTGGAAAAGGTGAATTCTGTCTAAACCATGTACATGATGTCCTCATAGCTGTAGGAGACATATTTCTGATAAGTTACTAATTTACCATTCTTTGAACTTGGTGCGTGAAATCCTCAGGTGCTTAAATGGCAAAATTCTTTAAGGGGATGAAACTGTTTTGTTATCATGATTATGAAGTTGGACCACCTTGCAGCAGTGCTCTTTGACTGTTCTTTGCCTGTTCTCTAACTGTGTTCACCTTGAATGGATGTAGACTACTCTCCCTCACACTACTTCTTGGTGTAGGAAACATGGTTGATCTGATGACAAAGGTGGCTGTTCTCAACATGTTCTTGTTCCTACTTCGACATCAGTTCAGCCTTCTGTAACACACCAGCTCTTTGCCCTTGTCCACACCAATTGTGCGTTACATCAGCCCCAGGACTACCAGTTCTACCATTTCTTTATGGAGCTCTAATCACCCTGGTGCCTTTAAACATTTCACTGCTGTTCCTGAGAATGTCATAGTCAGTATGACAGGTTGGCACCAAGATTCTCCATCAGTGTTTCTGACATAGCACTATGCAGTACTGCTGTTATTCAGAACTTCAGCACTGTTTAGATACTGATGTAGATGAAAGGAGCTTTTTTTCAGGTGCTAACTATTGGAAATAATAATAATAAATACAATAATAAAATTGTATTGTTATTAAAGTCTTTTTTTCAGCTTAAAGCTTCATCAACTTACTTAAACTAAAGTGTAAATAGAGTCTTTTGGTTCAGATGATTTCACAGAAGAGAGTTAAAATTAAATTGCAAATATGTGTACATAAGTTAAACACTTATCTTGAAATTCATGTTAAAGTGTTCTTTTTAATACCTTTTATAGCTGGCAACCATACAACAATCCCTCAACTTGTTACAAAAAGATAAAGATTACCTTAATCGTCAGAACATGGAGCTTAGTGTTCGCTGTGCACATGAAGAAGATCGTCTTGAAAGACTACAGATTCAGCTAGAGGATGCAAAAAAAGCTAGGGAAGAAATGTATGAAAAATATGTTGCATCCAGGCAAGTTGGTGTCTGTTCACTTCTATCAGTATACAGGTTCTTTAACTGTTTTCCTTTGTTTCTTGCACAAATCCAATTTAATTAATTTTATTTTTCAGAAAGCTAACCCATATTTTTTTTAACTAGAAGCAGAAGACTTTTCCTGGGTCATAGAATGTATCACAAACATTTTTTTAAGCCTTTTTAAGACCATAGCAGTGGAAGTAAACTTTCAGCATAAACTTGGACATTTATGCCTATTATTCTTGTAGTTTGTTCATTTAATTATAAAACAAACTTCTTGTTTTCGATGTATATCCATAAATTTTGTGTTCTCTGTAACTTAAGAGGAAGTGTGCTAATATGACTCCCCTGATAGACAACTAAGACAAAAAATTTTACCTAAATGAAAACAGAAGGGCATTCTTGAAATTATTAGTTATGGAGCTGCAGCCCCTATCAGAAGAGTTTTAAATATTATTTTTCCTTTCAGTGCAGTCACTCAAAGTTTTTTAAATTTATTCTGCGTGTTTATATCTCAGAACTATTTTCACCCAGAACTTCTGTATTTTAAATAAAAAATTGTCTTACTTTTGAAAACTTAAATAATTTGTTTTGTTTTTTTGTTTTTTTTTTTTTTTAATAAACCTGTTTATTGTGTAAAAGGTCTTCATAGAGTATTTGCTATAGTGTGGCACTGTTGAGGATGGAGAAGAAATAAGTTTACTTTTATCTTGAAGGGTCAACTGGAATACACTATCTCAATAAAATGAAAACCTAGAAAGTTTTATTTTATAAAAGGAAAGGAAATAAAATAAAAGGAAAACCTGACAGCAAGCATTCTCCATTTTAATATTTTGGGGCTTCTAGTTAATGTGAGAGTTTGACCAGCTCAGGTGCTCATTTCTAAGAATTATGGGCTACCACATGATTGGAAATTAAATGAAGTCTAAAATATTTTACATATGTAAATGCACGTATCTTCATAATATGCTTTTGTTTCCAAACCTGTCATTTTTACCAGTTTCTTAATTGCTGATTGATTATTCTTGAACATTAACTAGATCCTATAAAATTTTGACATTCCTCAACTGTTAAGCACTTACAACATAACCCTATTTTTGTAGGAGAGATTCTTTATGAGATTCCTTAAATCTGACTTGAGCTTCCAAAGTTACAAAAAAAGTCAATGTTTCTCTGAAATTAAATTCTTTTATCCTGATATCTTCTGATACCTGTTGCTTACAACCTTTGTGTTTTAAATAAGTCATATGTTACATTGACAGGATAAATTCCCAGATTTTGGGAGTCTTTGACTTCACAAATCATCACTCCATTTAATTTTCAATGTTTCTTGTGATGGCTTTTTCCCCTCATATGAGGTGCAGATAGTACACAAATAAGTCTTGTAGTGGCATGACAGCATTGCAAGTCAATAAGTTAATCAATCCTTACCCACTAATGAAGAAGAAAGTGAGGAATTAAATGTTTTCTTAATATAAGCACTTGTGTAGAGGCTGACAAAGAAGTTCTGGAAGAATGTTAATGTTATGTGATTAATCAATATTAAATAACTTTAAAAATTTAAATTTGTGTGCAAAAGACTTCTCTTCATTCACAGTTAAATATTTATTCCTGGTTGATTTTCATTTAATTTATATAGCAACATAGGCTGATAAGTATTTTAAGTCATTGAGAGGTAAATGAGTAAAGATTGAAATAAAATGTAAAATCAAGAACTCTGCTCTTGTAAAGCTGTACCTGAAGTTTTGATGTTTTGACTAGTGCAATGTGTTTGTTTATTTACAGAGACCACTATAAAGCAGAATATGAAAATAAACTGCATGAAGAATTGGAACAAATAAGGCTGAAAACAAATCAAGAAATTGAGCATCTAAGAAGCACCTCAAAAGAGATGTATGAACGTGAAAACAGGTAGGTAAGGTGTAGGCAGTAACCTAATTGAGGAAGAAATGACCAAGCACTGTTTTTTTGCTTAGGTATAGTCCTAGCTGACTGACTCTTTGAGAGGTGTTGAAATGTAACAATTTAAGCTCAGTTGTAAAACTGATGGGAATCCTGTAAAAACTAAAATGAAATTATACTTGTACAGTAAGTTTATATATTTAAGTTGTTATATTTATTAGTAAATGATGGACAGCCAATATTATCACTTGAAAAGAAATACTAAAATTCATGTTCTAAAATCTGGTGGTTTGAAGTCTGTTCAGAGGTATAGCATTAGTTAATTAACACAGGAAGACATTTTACATGTCATGCTCTAGGGGCAATCTTGAAACTGTGCTGGAAATGCAGAAGAGAAAGTGTTGATGCAGAAAATAAGGCAGGAAAAGCCCAAAAAAGATAAGACTTAGACTTCGGCCGGTATGAAATAAATCTAATTGAGTTTTTTTAGAGCATCATGATTCAAAAAAAAACCCATTGATTTCCTGTAAATTATTGTAAAATTCTCTTTTGAGGAAGATTCTTGTCCTGCAAAGACTTGCATGATGAGTTTGTATGTGTGCCATCTAGTTCAATACCATGGAATTACATGCACATGCATAGACCTTTTAGGGACCTAGGGGTTTGGACCTTTGGCACCGAGTTTCTTTTTTAGCTTGTTTTTTGCCCATTTTATTGCTTTAAAATGGGAGGAGTGCTTAATAACTTCACTGTTGATGTCCTGAAAGTGTCATGTGGAGAAGGAAATGACAGTAGTAAAAAGATATTTGTGGCATCAGCATCCGTTCCTCTAATAGGTAGTTTTGTTACTGCTGGGAAGAGTGGAAAAAGAACAGGGCTTCTGCTGTATTTCAGTCAACAGAAAGGTTCTAATTAAAAAACAATTACATCATTGTGTAGTTTTGCAAGTGTGAGTAAAATACATATATGCATCCACACCACTTCCTGTATGCAAATCTATTTTGAATTACAAAGTATGAATTTAAACATGCACTCCTTTGGAGATTTGACAAGCGTCTGTATATCATTGAGAAAGCTACTGAAAGATATTTCATTTGTATCTGGAACTGCTTTACAGAAGTTTCTTTTTCCTCATTTTGAAATAATTACTTCTGAAATGCAAATCCCTTAGATTTGCCTATATGTTTAGCAAAAAAAAAAAAAAAATTAAGGCTTCCTAGCATATGTTCTTTCTAGAAAATACTAAAAAAATCCACTGTAAGGCAGTCCGCCTCAACGGTAAGACGAATGGAACCTCAAGTTGTGAGCAAAACAATTTGCAGTGAGTTTGTGTAATGTGATGAGATGCTGTTTGTGGCTGAAAATGAAGTTAAGATGCTGGTTTCATCCTCCTGCTCAAAGCATGGAATGGTATTACAGCTAAGCTAATCCAGTATTCCGTTGCTCATATTCTTTGCCACTTTGCCAAGCCTGATGTGCCTGATAGTTCCTTTGAATTTATTGGTGCGTGTTTTACACTTTGATGAATCAGTTCAAGAAACTAAAATGGGAGGAGGCCACTAATAAAAAGGTGATGCTTTCATGCCTAATTTTTTTTGGCATCAGTTTCACTTGTATGGTTGTTGTAAGCATGGGCTATGTTTGCTTTAGCAGACATGAGTGAATTCATAGGGCATGTGAATGTCTGCAAGAGGTTTGACCCTGGATTGCCTGTAGTCTGTTCCCATAGATCAAACACAGTTTAGTAGTTGAGCGTGTGAGATGCTTTCCCTAAGCACCTGTTCTGATGTTGCCGAATGTGACTGGAATCCAGTTTGTGCATTCTAGACCAGTTTAGGGATGTGACAGTGCAATAAATGACAGTTGCAAAGAGGTTTGTTTGAAAACCTAATAAAGATGCTCATTAGCTGCTGCCTCCCATGTCTTCATCCCACCTTTTTTTTCCCCCATGTCCATTCTTGATCCTCTAAATAGTATTTCTGTCCCATTTCAGAAGGTTAGTTTCACTTGTGTGATAGGCTGGCTAGATGCCTCATAAGGCCCCAGTGCAGCCATTTGGGTAGGTGCTTCGCCTCCTGTGAAATGGCAATCACACAACTGACAACTGGCAGTGTGACTGATGTGTCTCCTGGTTCTCTAGAAAGAGAGTATTTCAACAGAAGTTACATCACATCTATGATTGTGGTCTTGTTGGTGGAATAGTCCCTTAATTGTGTCCTTTTTCCTCTTACTGCATTTTCAATTGGTTAGTTGTTCAGCTAAGCAAAAGAGTTTATTCTCTAAATGAGTCTCTGTATCTCTCCTACTGTTTCATTTTTATCCCACCTCCACTATTCTGGTCTTAGGGATACAGCTCTGGACTCCCACTGTAAGACATAATATGCTTGATCTTAATGCTGTTAACAAAATGTATTGCTACATTCCCATATTTTGGTATGAGTCACTTTTAAAAAATCAAATCTTAACGTCAGTTCCTGAATTTCTGCACTAAATTCTATAGCCCAGTAACTCAACTTTTAAAGAAAATTTTGTTATCTTTCTCTAATAGCCAGTTAACTGCTACATAATTCTGATGTTATTTTTTTCGAAGTAACTGTTTGCTGTTCGTATGAATTACTTTGAATTCAGAAAAGTGCCACTGATTACATTTATTCTAACAAATAGTCTTTAAACCAGAAGTTATATACCTTTAGTGTGATACAATGACCTAGGTTAACATTTACATGAACATAATAGTTTTCTGTTTTCCTTTGTATCCTGACTTTTCACTTTTCTCCAAAACTTTCCTGAGCCTTTAATTTCACTTTGCCTTAAGTAAAAAGTTGTTGTGGGGAGAGGAAAAAAATCTTCAGTAGGAAGATGTTGATTGCATCCACATTAGCAGATCAGTTCAGAGGAAGAATATGGTGAAGTGAAATCCCCTACTCATAGCTGCTAGCCATGGTTTTAGCTTGCCTTGCAGCTGTGCTTGGATTTGCTCATATTTGTAGCATATGAATAGGATTCCTTTTAGATAAAACAAAACTGAAAGGAATCTTTAAGATCATCTAATATGTTTCAAATGCTGGTGAATGTTCGTCATAGAAGCAAACAAGCAGTAGAGTAAAATCCTTAAAAACAGTCATAACAGAGATGTCTGCTCCTCAACAACCACAGTTAGCTCTGGCAAATTGGCTGGTGCTCTGTTACACTAAATATTGGACGCTGAGTTTATATACAGTATCTAAGCAGTGCTTCTCCTCATTACCGCAGTGTTAATTTGTAGCCTGCTTGCAGCATAACAGACTATTAGTAACTAATTCCAATTTTTAAACACATACTATATACTATATGTTTTATTCTTAGTATCGTGCTGTTCTCATTTCTGTTGGCCAAATAATAATTGAGGTAGTTTGAACATCTTGACTGATCCCTGGTTATAAAAAGAGTATCAATTGATTGTAATAAAATGTTATTTTATGGTTCTTTGCAGGTCAAAAATGTTGCCAGCAATAAAACCCAGAAGGAGGCTCCCAATGATATGCAATAATATATACATCACAGTAACTAGACAATTAGTTTCATGTGGAAGTAGGATTTCTATGATTACCTAAACTTTTCTTGCTCTGTCAAAAGTTGAGCATCATCTCAGCTAGGCAGAAAGCATTCCTGAAGTTATTCCGAAAGCACCAAGGAAAATCATTGGAATTCATTTAATTCCTGAAAAAAAAAATAATTCTAGTATTCTAGAATAATTAGAGTTATGTGTTTCCACCTGTAAATAGGTGATTTAATAATTGTTTTTTACAATTTCAGAACTGGTAGGTTTGCTGGTGTATATGAAAATAACCTGAGGTAAAGCCTCTGTAATAAACAGGGGAATAGATAGACCCTTCTGTCATTCTATAAGAGCTTAAGAAGGTAGCATTGAAATTCAGATCAGAGAGCAGTAATTAATGAAGCAAAGCAGTCTTGTTTCTAACAGATTCTTAACAGAATAATTTTTGTTTCCTTTAGAAATTTGAGAGAAGCACGAGATAATGCTGTTGCAGAAAAAGAGAGAGCAGTTACTGCTGAAAAGGAATCTTTAAGAAAATACGATCAACTCTTAGAACAGTAAGTGTTTTTAAAATACATACAAAAATCTAAAGGTATAACAGTGTTTATATCTAGGAGGTCTGGGTAGAAGGAATGACTAACTTTCTGCTTACAAAGAACAAATTGAATTACAATCTTTTTGTTTAAATGAAGTTGCAGACTTAATTCTTGTAGTAAGTTCTTTCCATTTTCACTGCAGTAATAAGATCAAAGTTTGGTGGTTCTCCTACCGTACTGCAGAGAAAAGCAAACATTCATTTCATAGCAAGAGTGTCGATTTTATACTGTACAGTAGCAGTAATCAAACTCTGAACCTGTTTGTGGGGTTTTTTTCTTTAGTTGAAAGTAGAAAATCATCCTCTAAGATGACTTCAGTTAATAGTTTTTATGGCATTTAGATAGAGGGCAGTAGTCATGAACAATTATGTTTGCTACATGTTTCTCTTCTTACTACTGTCTCTTCTCAATCTTTCATACTCCATGTGTAGAATATACTGTCTATACCAATGCACATTTCCATTCAATGGAAAAAGAAACTATAGGTGATTTTTTGCCTGTTTACAAGCAGTCTTACTTTATGTTCTGTAATGCCTTTTCCTTACTTTTTGTAAATTTAGAAAATAGACTGTGGTTAAACTATGAGGTAATGTAAAACTATGGACAGTAATCAAAGTTGTTCAGGTTAAGTTTGTCATGTGTCTTTAGTTTTGGATTGAATTCATTGTTTAATACACATTTTTTTTTCTATAATGAAGAGATCAGTTCATTAAGTGACTGTGCTTCCTAGTCATCTACTCAAAGGAAGTGCTAGATGAGCTTTCTTGGCTCTGAATAATTTTTAATTACAGTTTAAATGTTATTAACTTAAGCATAGGAACAAATTTATTAAAGCTTTTGATTTTTATGTGTAACTCCTAAATTGCAGTAGTGATGCTGTTGAAGAAATAGCATTTTCTAAGGATTGAAAAAATGTGATTTCTAACTGATGATGTCAAACAATAGGGGTAGGTCTAGAGCAAATGAGATGGATCAGAGGACTTGATATCCACAGTGAGTTTAAGGGGCCTGACTTCAGATTCATTCTAGTTCAGCTGAATGGGCCCAAGGGTGTGGAATGCCTTTTAGTGGGTAGATCACATTGGAGGGGTTGTTGGGTTCTCCAAAGGAATTCAGTTTGCAAACTCTGAGGTGATGGCTCCACAATGCGGAAATCAAAGCCATTTGAATAGGGAGGGCCCGGAAACTTGTTCAAAACTGATCTCCTGGGTTAAAATAAAATGCTAATGTGAGTCAGCACGGGTTTCTTTCTAATGAGACTCCTGCCTTCCACTGTGGTGAGATTTACTAAGACATGGGGATTTCATATATAACTGGAAACTCCTCTTGAGAATCAGTCTGGCATATCATAATTTGAGTTTGCACTTTTACTTAATAAAAATACTAACTTTGCAATTCTTCTATATTTATTTTTAAGCTTAAGAACTATGGAGAAAATACTTTTCTGTCCAGCTGTATTCCCAGTCATATAATGTGTCATTTTTTCATACTGTTGCTTTATTTTGAGGAGGGATGGTTCACTGCAATTAGAAACAGGAATCTTATTTGATACACTTATGCCTCTGTGCTCTTATAGCTTTTTCTAGTGATAAGCCCTCCAGTTAACTGAAACTCTCATTTCCTTGTGTTAAATGGATTAATGAGTTGATTAATGCTGGGTTTTGGAGTTCTGAGAAGTAGATCACTCCTCAGAAGATTATTTTCTGCTTGGGAACATGGAAAATCCATACTAGCCTTTTTTGAAATGTTGGTGTCTCTCTTTAAAAGTACCTCGCTTCTAACCAAATAACAGGTGTCAAGACCGTGACTTTCTCCACATTCCAAATCATCTACCTAAGTGAACGGCCAAGTAACTAACTGGCATGTTGAGATGGTAGAAATACCTTAACTTGAAAGACGCCCAAATTCTGAATTTACTGTGGACTCACATGTGACAGTTCTGTGAAAAAAATAAATTTTCTAATATCACCAGAAACCCCTAAAATGAAAAAGGAATACCTGTGTTGTCCAGGTCTGTATTTAAGTGATTATAACAGTTTGTTCTACTTTAGTAAAGACAAGGTGACTCATCATAGTTACTGGTATCATAATCTGTATAAACAAACATGTTTGAAAGCTTCAGAAGTATGTGGAATGTTGACTGGCCTGAATGGTGGTTAAATAAAGCCCCTGGCAAATCTTGTGATCAGAAGTGTAACTAATACCCAATTTTCTAGTCAAGTGCAGTTATTTTCATTTTTTTTACTCTTGTTTGTGATAGTTTTCTGTGAACAGCTATTTACAAATGCCAAGAAAATACCAAAGTGATAATATTAATGAAAAAGTTTATTGAGAAAGGATCTGCTGTTTCAACCTTAAAGTACACCACTGTGATGTCAGGATGTAAGTTTTGTTGCTCTCTTTGCCATTGTACATCTGTAATTTCTGTCCGAGAATCCATGTTTCATTTACCTATGACAATGTCAACAACCTTAAATTACTGGATATTTTTGGATTAAAGTTTTGTCAATGTCACACATTTTAAAAAAAAAATATGACCAAAGGGAAATATTTTCACTTGTTGTTGGTAATGTGACTTAAGACTTTTTTCTAATTTCAAAGCTGTATTACCTCAGTTGAAATTGTCTAGGGGTAGAATAAGCAGAGCAATTCGGTAACAGCTCCGTCATCTACACGGTTAAGTGCAGTTACTAAATATGTTCCAGCTTTTCCTTCTTTTGAACACTCCTGGAGTGTTATTTTCAAACTGTTGACTGTTAATCTGTTACTTCTCCATGCCAAAGGAAAAATATCCAACCCACCAAAACACCAACAGCGCAAAAAAAAAAAAAAAAAAACAGCCAACTGCGCAAAAAAAAAACAAAAAACCAACACCAAAAATGTAGAAGTGCACTGTTGTGCTATTGGGCTTTTTCCTGAAAAGGTGCCTAGTCTCCTGTTATGTGCAACATCAAACTTAAATGGTTTCTTGTCTTAAAGTGGACTCAGAGGTCTAACATGGTGTAAACTCATGCTAGAGCACTTCACCTACAAGAACCATCTCTTGCCTTTGATTGTTGACTTCCTTGAAAGTCAAATTCCTTAAATTTCTCCAAAAAGGAGTATAATGTCATTTTCCAGGACTCACCTACATCAGTGGAAACTGGTTTAAAAATTCTAGAATTATTGGGAGCACAAGGGAAATTCATACAAAACCTTTTTTTTCTTAGCGAGAAAAAAAAATGCTGCTCCCATCCTGTACTTGTACTTTTCCTATTTTTGTAATGATAAAGTGAGAAGTGTAGAATAATTAAGAGAAACAAAATAGATATGCAGTAAACAGAAAATGAGTATTCAAGGAAATTGTGTTATGGCAGTGCTGTTCCTTCAACTTTGCAGTGGACACTATTCATAAAAACCCTTGGTTTTGTAAAAGCTAGTTTAAATTCCTGCCTCTGTCCATTAGGTAATAGGATATTTTTAATTATATACTTTTTTTCTTTCTTATTTGCACATACACAGATACACAGATGATGAATTTTAAACCATGTTTCTATACTTGTGTTAAGTCAGGGTGATGACTACAGAAACTGTTTAGAGCCTTAGGTTTGTTCTATAAAGATTTCAAAGTATTTTGTAGTATTATTATTTAAACATTTCTGGTTGATGTACATAGATCAGTTTGTAAAGATTACTGAATTTATAATGGATGATCTGCTACAGGTAAAAATACCTTTAGGAGTATTTCTATTGTTTCTGCTTGGAAATGCTTTTCTCAATAAAAAAACAAAATAGAATAAAGATTATTTACATTTCTTGACAGCATTTGTCTCTGCCACATAGGTTAAGAAAAGTATGCAAAAAGTTGTCTGCATGTTTGTGTTTACAGATTTATTGCTTTTCTTTTCAGTCAGCTTCATGCTGACTATACAACTAACAGACTTATTTTAGTCTCACCGCAGTCTTTTTCACTTGAATCTCTTTTATCCCTATTTTTTTTTGTTCTTCATAATTGTGGTATATTTTAGAATTTATCAGATGCTATCTGTTGCTAGTCATCTGTCTTAAACTTTTTAGGTGATGGAGAGAGGGGATCAATTCTGTTTATCAAATGGGTTTTTAAATAGATGAAATTAAGATCCCTATATCTTCTTATTAATTGCACACAAGCTTAGAAGACTATTTTAGGTGAGAAGATAATTGGATAAATTTCCTGAATAAATAAATGTTAGAATACATTTAGAATCTCTGTGGAGCATGCAGAAATATCATAATTGGATTTTCATTTATTACATTATACTTTCATTATTAACAGAAACATGAAAACGAATTATTTTCCCCTTCTGATAACATATTTTTTATAATCTGGATGTTGCTGACTGCAGTGACAGGATTCTAATATTAAAATTACTAACTCAATGTCTATATGTGCTGGAGTTAATACTAAGATTTAAATAGGGGCGTATATCTCTTCAAGAATATTTATATCAAATGAAGATTTCAATAATTAATTTTTAAAAATCCATACTGAAGGCTGCTGGCCAAAATAGTTCTGGGGCAAAGCTGCCATCACTCTGTGATATAAACTGCTGTCAGAACTTCATACTCCCTGCACATGGCTGCTAGGTTTGTACGCGAGGTGTTTTGTAATCCCTTGAATTGAAGAGCTGTGTGGGTCTTGAAAATCACTACCACTTTTAATCTGCAGTTTCAATTAACTCTGTTTATGCTTTCCAAAATGCTTTTCTGCTAATAATAATTTGGTGCTGCTGTATTCATTTATGAGTTCTGTTGTATTATGTATATGCGTAATTTTTTAACACTTAGAATTTCTATCAGAATAAAGCCAAGCCCTTCAATGGCATTATTAGACCTTGTTTAGAGTTCAGCCCTAGCCAAAGTAACTATCCCACATTTCCCATAAAACGACCTTCCTCTTGTTCTCCTGATGAGAAAGTTAAATACGAGGTACAACTAAAAGG